TAGTGGAAGGATCAAAATGAAGGAGAAGCTGTGAAACCAGCAGTCTGTTGGCTCTTTCTGTCTCTCATGTCTGCTATTCTCATCTTTCTCCACATAGAGTCTCTGGACTGTGCTAATACCATTTCCCCATAAATTTCACTTTCTTGTCTCCCTTTCTTCTGTGGTGCCTATTTGGCTAACCTCCAACCCTGGTGAAAGTGATTATCTGCTTACTCTGCATCTGCACCCAAGCAGCTGAACATTGCTGGGGAAGAGCACACAGTTAATGTGTATTACATTAGGTCAGACGATGGTGTTTGAAAACTTAAAATACAGTGGCTTAAATAAGGTAGGACTTCTCTTTCTCATAAAAATCCAGATGTGGAAGGTCTAGGACTATTGATTGTGATGGTTCCATGATCATCAGGGGTCTAGGCTCCTTCTGTCTTTTGCTTTGCTTTGTGTGGCCTCCATTCTCTAGGTCACCTCATGATTCAAGATGGCTATTCCAGCAATCATGTCCATATCCTAGCTAGCAGGAAGGAGGAAGAAGAAAGTGGAAAGGCATGCTCTCTTCCTTTCAGGACACTTCACAGAAGTTGCACACACTATTTCTGCCATAGTAACACACCACCAGGCTGCAAAGAATCTGAGAAGTGTGGTCTTCATTCTGAATGACAGTGTGCCTAGTTAAAAATTGCCAGTTCTGTTACTAAGGAAGAAGAGAAACTGTTGGGACACAAGTATGGTCTCTTCCACATAAGCCAACTGCACTCATTTCACATTCATGACTGTAAAACTCAAATGAGCCCTCACTATGGCCCTGAAATGTTGATCTTACTGTATTTCCCTAGTAGGTTGACTTTTCCACTCTCACTCTCCCTAAATCTTCACTCGCTTATCTAAATCGTAGTCTCAGCTGATGTCTTTGCCTCATATTTCACAGAGAAAATAGATACAGTCAGGTGAAATCTCATTGTCTCATTTTCACCGGCTCACACCTCTGCCTCTCCATGCCATCTGTTCACATGGGACCGAGTAGGAAGCATCTGCGTCTTCTGCCATGCTGCTCTTTGTGCTTTTTTGCTTTTATCCCTTCACAGCCTCTCGAGATTTGCATTTATGTCCTTTCTCTCTTGCATTCTAAACTTAATGTGGCCAAAATAGAATGAATTCTTTCCAGTTTCCTGCAACTTTCTTCCTTTAAAGCCTTCGCATCTCAGTAAATGGCACCACTCAGTTGTTCAAACCAAAAATACAGGAATCATCCTAGATAGTCCCCATCAGCAGTCCACCTGTTCAGCTCTACCTGTGGAATGTCTCTTGGACCTTTCCTTCTCTAAGCCATCATTTCTTGATTGGGTGATTACAGTACCCTCTTCACTGGTTTTCTGTTTCTGTATTTTAAAAATGAATTACTTTATTGAAGCATATCATAAATATAGAAGATTGCTCACATTATAAGTGTATTACTTGATGAATCATCACAGTCACCCTGCCCACCTAACTACCACCTTAATTAAAAAAAAATTTTTTTCAGAACCTCAGAAACCCCTCTCATGTTCCTACCAGTTACTCTTCTTCCCTACATCCTAATCTCTAGTACCATAGTTTAATTTTGCTTGTTCTTGATTGTTATAAAATTGAATCATACAGTGTAGATTTTTGATACATGGATATTATGCAATTTATCCATGATTATATTTATCTGTATTATAAGACTGTACCACAGTTTATGTATTGTTCTATTGAGGGCCATTTTGGTTGCTTCCAGTTTGGAGCTATTATGAATAGAATTGTTATGATTATGCCTATGCATGTGTTTCAGCGCACGTATATATTAATTTCTGTTGGGTATATGGCTTGGAATTGCTGGGTAATAGGGTGTATATAATAGAAATAGCCAAAATGATTGTACCATTTTATACTCCCACCAACAGTACCTGAGAATTTCAGAGGCTTCTTATTCCTGCTTCTATTCTTGCCCTCCTGTAGTCTTTCTGACTACAGTGTGATCTTTCTAAATCAGGTCACTCATTCCTCTGCTTAAGCCTTCCAGTGGTTTCTCATTGGAGCCAGCATGAAATGCAGGGTATCCAAGGCCTTATATGATCTGTCCCAGCCACCTTTCCAACCTCATGTCCCTTCTACTCTTTTTATTCTCTTTCTCTAGTCTTAGTGGCCTCCTTTTTGCCCCTCAGACCTAGTTTTGGTGTGAAGAACTTTGCACATGTTGTGTTATTTGAGAGACCATTGATTTTCGCTTGGCTGTCTTCTTTTAGCCCTTCAGGTTCTCTTCAGGTGTCACCTCCTAGAGAGGCCTTCTCTGGCCACTGTAGTGCTAAAAGCAGCTTCCCTCTGCCTTGCTCTTGTCAGTGTTTACGACATTAGCCCATTTTATCTTCATAGTGTTTTCAGTGCCTGAAATTATCTTTGTTTATACATTTATTGTCTGTCTTCTCCTGAAAGCACCTTTGAAGGCAGGGAAAATACCTATTTTGTCCATCTTGGTATCTCTAGCACCTAGGGCAAATCCTAGAATACAGTAAGCACTAAATAAATATTTAGTAATGGACTGACATTCTCATGGTCAGAAATGAGGCCACTGGTAATTTTGGGGGTCACATGCTTCCAGCTCTCAATTAGAGAAAAAAGAGCCTTTGTCACCAAATTTTGGCCATAAATATCCTAGAGAAGGATTTCACTGGTACAGCCTGTATCACAGCTTATCTCTGGGATTAGGAGGGCAGTGTCTGTGATAGGCAGCTCACACCTGGACCTTCAGGTTGGCCCTGGGGAGGAGCCATCTCCCAGGAGAAAAGGGAGAAGTGGCTGTCTGGGACTGACCTATTTTGGACTTCTTAAATTGTACACAGTATCATTGCATCAGACATCTTTTCCTCCCAGGATTCAGGGCATACAGGAACTATGCAATCTCTGCTGGCCTGTCATCTCCATTAGATCCCTTTTGGTGGCTTCTCCTGTAGATGATTGACATTAAGTCCCTGTAGTTCAGTCCTGGTTACTGTGTCTTCTGACTGATTTTCTTTCAGATCACCTCTGCCAGCTCTCAGACACTTAAAGGACATGTTCTCTGCAGGACCACTCTGAAGGACTCCTCAACATATTACTGACCTGAGTGGTTGGCCTCAGTCCTTCCCAACAGGAAGGGAGATATGACTGGTCACTAATGAAAGAGGTAACAAAGCTTTGGAGATAAACTACAAGTAGTGAAACAACTTTCTATGAAGTGGAAAATGCATCTCTTCGCTGCTATGTGAACAGCTTTTGCAATCATTAAATTTACCTAAACTAAAGGGGTCTTTGTATCTACTTTTACTTCATTTGTGCCTTGGTTAGTAGTGTCTCTGAGATTTTCCTCATAGCTTCTGGGTTAAGTGTTTCCCAACCCAGTTTCTAATATGGACACTGGAAAATCTCTCTGGCTTTCTCCCTTCAACCCGAGAATTAGAGACTGAGGGGAGGGGAAGGTGGAGAGAAACATTTACTTAGGAAAAGTTGCTCTAGATCTTTCTTAACATTTTGATTTGGTATCATTGACTCAGCTCCTGCTTTCTCTCTTTATTTTCGTATTTTACCTGAGAACTTCCCTCATGGACCTCTTTTTTAGTCTATCAGTTTATTCTTTGCCTTCAGATTTGATAGTACTTGGAGTTTTAGAAAACATTACCTACTAGTAGTCATTTATTAGCCCATTTACTACCAAAATTATGTCATTCTGTGGGGATAATGAAAAAAAAATCCAAAAGATGGTAGCATAGAATATTTGGAGTCTGAAGGACTTTGGTTCAAGTCCCTGCTTCATTGCTTCAGAGTTGTGTGACCTTTAGTAGTTACTTTATTCTTCTGTGCCTTGGTTGTCTCCTATGACATGGGGATAATAATAAAACACTTACCTCCTGGAGTTCAGTGAGATTACACTTGTAGAGAGTTTAGTCAGTCTGTGGAACATAGTAAACTCTTGACAAATGAGAGCAATTATTGAAAGATTTTGCTTCTAAAACAAGCTGCGTATATTAGTATATGCTGAGGCTTTTACTGTGTGTCTGGTCATGATCTCCTATGAGACTCCTTCCACTGACCTACGTGGCAACCTTTAGGAACCCCAAGCTAGCAACCTCTTCCTCACCTGCTGGTACAGCCCGGGAAGGATTGACTTCTACGTTCAAGGTCCGTCATCAACTCAAGAAATGCGTTATAGTTTAGTCATACATATATTCATTTTTATATTCTTTTTCAATATAGGTTACTATAAGATATTGTTCCCTGTGCTATACAGTATAAACTTTTAAAAAAAATTTTATATATTGTAGTTAGTATCTGCTAATTTAGTTTCAATAGAATTCAAAAACATGGCTCCTACAGGGTTCCATCCCATCTCTTTATGTTGTTACTGTTCTAAAATACATCTGTATACATTGTGTGCTCCTCAACATAGACTTATAATTCTTGTTTTATGTAATTTACTTTTAAGTCATACAGGGAAAAAAAGAGGAATTACTGTTAATTGTGAACAAGTCACATTTGCACTCAGATTCAAGTAAAGGGAAACTAGGTTCCTCCTCTTAATGGAAAGTATCTGGGTTCTAGAAGAATATGTGGGATGGCAGATCCTGTTGGTGCCATCTTTGGAAACATAATCTGTCACAGATATCAGGAGAAAGAGCTGGTGATGAGTTGATGAGTTGAAAAAATAGAGAGGTCAGTGTGGATGGAATGTTAAGAGGGAGGGAGAAAATGATCTGATGTGAGATGAGATGGGAAAGGTTGACTTTAGGTACATTGTCCAGAATCTTTGAGGCCTGATGGATTTTATTTACATACAGTGGGGAGGTATTGGGTGTTTTTTTTATCTTTTATTTTTAATTTTCCCATACTGTAGACTTCCAGGGAAGTTGCATAGTGAGTATAAAGCATTTTCCTACACCCATCACACAGCATTCCCTGATGTTAACATTTTGCATAGCTTCAGTGTACATTTGTGAGAGCTAGGAAATTAATACTGGCGCATTCCTATTAACTAAATATAAAACTTATTCAGATTTCACCAGCTTTTTTAATGAATATATCTTTCTATTCCAGTATCCAGTCCAAGATACCACACTGTATTTAGTTGGCATGTCTCCTTAGTGTCTTGTGATCTGTGAAAGTTCCTCAGTCTTCCCTTGTTTTCCATGACCTTGACACTTTTGAAGAGTACTGGTCAGGAATTCTGTAGCATGTCTCTTAGTCTGGATTTTTCTGATATTTTCTTGTGATTAGTACCTTTCTCATCAAATCATACCAGAGCATACATGATATGAACATCACCTGGTTAAGATGCTGTTTTGCATGTTTCTTCAATATAAAGTTGTTATATTTCCTTTTCTATACTTTGACTCTTTGGAAGTGAGCCACTAAGTCCAGTCCACCTTAAAGGCTAGTGGGAATTAAGCTTTACCTCCCAAAATGGGGGTATTTAACATATTATTTGGGATCCTATGGGAAAAAATGCTTCTTTTCCTCTATTTATTTATCCCATCATTTACTTACGTCAGAATGGACCCATGGATGTTTACTTTATATTTTGATTTACACTGTGATATTTATTGTTTTTCTCAAATTGATCCCAATTTGCGCATTGGAACCTTTTTCAGATTGGCTTTTGTGCCCTTTTATTTTTCTTTCTTTTTGTTAGTAATCTTGTTTCTTATTTTTAAATGAACTTTTAATTTTAGAACAGTTTTAGTTTTACAGAATAATTGCAGATAGTACAGAGAGTTTCTTTATACTCTACACCCAATTTTCCCTTACGATTATAACATCTTAATTTATAGTTCATTACAATTAATAAATCAATAGTAATACATGATTTATTAAAGCCCATACTTGATTCAGATAGCTTCCATTTTCCCCTTACCCATTTTTATTGTTCCAGGATCACATCTGGGACACTATATCACATTTAGTAGTCCTGTTTCCTTAGGCTCCTCTTGGTTGTGACGTTTTTCTCAGATTCTCCTTGCTTTTGATGACCTTGACAGTTTTGACGAAAACTGGTCAGATATTTTATAGAGTGTCCCCCAGCTCAGATTTGCTTTGTTTTTCTCATGTTTAGATCGGGATTATGTGCTTTGGGCAGAAAAATCACAGGGGTAAAGTGCCATTCTCATCCCATCATAAGGGCCCATACTATTAATATGATTTATCACTGCGTTTGTTAACTTGGATCACCTGGCTTGAGGTAATGTTTGTTCGATTTCTTCACTGTACAGTTGCTGGTTTTCCCCCCCTTTGTATACTATGCTTTTTGGAGGAAAGTCACTATGTACAGGAGAAACTTAAGGAGTGGGAGATTATGCCCTACCTCCCTAAGGGTGAGTAGCTATGTAAATCATTTAGGATTCTTCCGCACAGGAAATTTGCCTGGTCTCACCCATATATTTATTGAATCATTTATTTATATTTGTATAGACTGGTGGATATTTACTTTATGCTTTGGGTTATAATCCAGTACTGCTTTAATCATTTCATTGGTCAGATTGTTTCAACTTTGGAAACTCATTTGGTCCCTTAGCCCTTTGACATACCTCCATCATGATGGGTTTTTTTGAGTACTTTCTTACTTGCATCTGAGATGTTCTAGGGTTATCTTTTATATTTCCTTTCCAGTCCTAGAATTAGCTGTTTCTCTAAAGCGCCTGCTTAGATGACTTTTATAAAGAATAGTATAGAAACCAACATTTGGATGCTAGGTATACTTGTTGCTAATGTGATTTGGGAGGTTTTTTTGTTTTTCTGTTTTTTAAATGGAGGTGAAGTTCACATAACATAAAATTAACCATTTTAAAGAAAACAATTTAGTGGCATTTAGTACATTGACAGTGTTGTGCAACTACCATCTCTGTCTAGTTCTAGACTGTTTCCATCACTCCAGAATAAAACCTCATACCCATTCAACAGTTCCTCCTCCTTACCTACTCCCTGCCCTCCTGGCAGCACCACTTTGCATTCTGTTTCTATGGATTTACCTGTTCTGAATATTTCGTATAAACTGAATTGTACAATTTGTGATGTTTTGTGTCTGGCTTTATTTGTCTGAACATAATCTTTTCGAGGTTGATCCACATTGTAGCATGTATCAGTACTTCATTCCTTTTTATGGCTGAAGAATATTCCATGTATATGTATACCACATTTGTTTATCCATTCATCCATAGATGAACAGTTGAGTTGTTTATACCTTTTGGCTACTGTGAACTGTGCTGCCATGAACAATCATGTACAGGGTTTGTTTGAATGATTCAGTTTTTTGGGGCATATACCTAGGAGTGGAATTATTGGCTCATATGTAAATTCTATGTTTAACTTTTTTAGAAACAGTCAACCTGTTTTCCACAGAGATTGAACCATTTTTACATTCATACCAGCAAGGTACAGGGTTCTGATTTCTCCATATACTCAACCAACAGTTGGAAGTTTTTTAAGAGGAGAGTGGATCATAGGTAGCAAGGGCAGAAGCAGGGAGACCAGTTGCCCTGGTGAATGATCGTGGTGACTTGGACCAGAATGTTGATGGAGAGCAGCAGACAGGTGGGAAAGGTGTTCTTGAGGCAGAACAATAGGACTTAGTCTGTTGACGAGAGAAGGAGGAATCAAGAGAGATTCCCAAGTGTCTGGCTAGAAAAGCTGGGTGGATTGTACTGCCATTTACTGAAACGAGATTGACTTTGGAGTTGCTGGCCTGGGGAGAAATCAAGGGCTAAGGTTTGGACAAATGGCTGAAGGTAGCAGTGTAATGTGGCCTTCATTTTATGGGGTGCTGTCCCTTGCTCTGAGGCAAGCCCAGTCTCTGGCCCTGCTTTCCCTATCTGGTCTTTGTGTCTACAATCTGAGCTCTTTGGCTTCCAGAGCAGATAGTTATGCAGACACTGGTGCAGGGCAGAGGGCCTCTGCCTGGTATAGAGTTCACAGTTGTGTTTCTCAGCATCCCTCTTACATATTTTTCTGGGATTCTCTGCATTTGCTGACCTGACTTGGATTGGCTTTCCTCTGACAGCCACTTGGCATGGCCTATAGTCACTGAGCTGCCCAGTTTATGGTATTGTTGGGCTCTTATCTGCTCTGTTCCATTCAGCTTTTAGCATTTGGACTGTGCTCCTCAGGGTTTAACATGTGATGATGGGGAAGTTGGATTTCGCCCCTGTGTGATTTTCATGTTGGGCCAACAGGCAGAAGAGAACATTTGGAATGTGGGAGAGGAGGGCAGAGATTCAGAAAGAAAAGTCTTAATCATTGTCATGATTGTTCTCTAGCGCACTAGATAAAGTAACCCTGGATTTTGTTGCCTCATCATTCATATTATTGATTTTTATGTCTCTAGTAAATAGTGCTTTTACTAGTCATAAACATACAACGAAACTCCTATTTATAGGAATTGGAGACAAGTGAGTCATTTTTTTTTGCATGAAAACAGTTTAATTATTGGTGAGACGATTACAAAAGTGCCCTAAATCCCTGGATTCTTGCTTTTCTTGCATTTGTTAATTCAAGGTAATGTTGGTGAAGTTCCAAAGCATAGTTAACATACTGAGGGCACTAATTCTACTTAGTTCCTTAATCAAAAGGATGTCGTTTCCACAATATTTTGTAGAGAGGGTTTACAGGGTGCTTTTGCTTTCATACCCTGGCTTCAGGTGCTGAGTTTAGTTTGCTGCCCGAAAATCCTTCTGTGGGGAGACAAAAGAGACAGTTAGTTATATTCTTAAATATATAAGCTGGCTGCAGGCAGAGGCTGAGCCAGCCAGTGTACTCCATCCTCTTGATCACAACACTTGCTTCAAGGATGGGGATATGGAACAAGTCAGGTCAGGGGTTATTTCTGGATGATTGTCATTTGAGTTATTCCAGAAAGAAATGGAGGGTGAAGTTCCTGGTAGTGGCGGGACCTGCAATGCAGAGCCAAAATAGAGCCCACCCAGAAGCAGTTAGAGCCAAGAAATGGATTTTGGTGTCTTCACTTGGGCCACTGCCGAAGCTAGCGCCATCCTTATAATTTTATTGTTGTTGCTTAAACCAGTTTTGGTTGAGCTTTCTTTCACTTGTAGCTGAAACACAATTGGCGTTCATCTGATCCAGTCCCTTAACTCTAGGCTGACTTGGGGGAGGCTAAGGGATGTGTCCAGGCAACTTATAGTTATGGAGCATAAGAGCAGAGGTAGAAAACTAACACTAAGGCAAATGCTGATTTTACCGCACTCTAGTAATTGATTTGGCCACAGATACAGGGACTCTGGGGGTAAAAATAGGAATATCTAGTTTCTGAGGTTTGTACCAACATGAAAGAAGATACGTTCATGGCTGGGTTGCATACTCATTACGCATATTTATCAAGAATGGAACATATGTGGGAGATGGAGTTTCTAAACTTCTTTACTCTCTCATCTATCTTCCTAGTTCCACCCCTCATCTTTCACTGTTTTCCTAGTGATAAATTTACATAGAAACCCCATTCTTTAAACTGTTTTTCAGAAAGCAAGCTCTCTTTTCAGTTTTCTCTGGGTATAGGATTAGATAGATGGGAAGAAGGAGAAATTTGAGTCGGGGTAGCAGAGAAGGAGAGTCTCCAACAGTCACAAAGTGATGGTGTGGATGAGTCAGGCGTATGTAGTGGGGATGTTTCCAGAGGAAAGATTGAGGCATATTCAGGTCAGTGTGAGAGTCTTTGTGGGGACAATAGGCAGACTAGTTGATTATGTACTATCCAGAGTGTCTCAGTGTTAGGACTTGTATGGTGACTAGGATGATAGGCAGCTAATCTGCCTGAGAAAGAGTGGAGAGACTAGGTAGAGCTGGTGGGGCAGCTCAGAACAGACTGTGATGCCAGGGCCCACTGGCCCTATCCGTTACTCTGAAGACAAGCGCAGAGTGGGCTTTAGTGCCAAAGGAAAATATTTTTATTTCTTTCTCTTACCGATTTAAGTACTTGAACCTTAGTATTGTTTAGAAGATTTGAGGTTATTCCTGGTGGAACATTCCATTGATTTAAATTTTCTGAAATAAAGAAGGAGCATCTTATAAGTTGAAAGAAACAACGATTAGGCTGGGTTGTTTTAGGCACAGTCAACTGGAGGATTATCTCTGGATAGTGTATGGCTGTAGGAGAAATCTCTCCCCTGCCCAGTCAATGGAGAGATTTGAGTTAAGACATAGCCTCTTCCAGTCTTTTGTGTGTGTCAGGATGAGTTCTCAAGGACCGTAGAACTGTTTATCTGATGGATATTATTATGTATTGATAGAGAATTAATACCCAAGAGATATGCTGGCATGTCTGCCCTCACTATCTTGAGAAACCAGAATAATTATGCCCTGCTGTTTTGATTTCATTTGCAATACATTGAATCCTGTACATTTCATCATAAATATATACAGATGTCATTTTGTATCATATCTCTTGATGGTCATAAGGGTTATGAACTCAGACCCTTTAATTTCTCAAACCCTAGTGTCTGTGTGACTAGGTGACTTGGTCCATGGTTCCTCTAAGTGTCATGATACTGTTGTTATGAAAACACCTGGTGGGCTGGATTTCATTTGGACTTGTAGAAGAGACATTTTGATTCGGTTTTCATATTTTGCCATCTCAAGATGCTGAAGTCCCTATCTAAAAACCAATGCTTTCTGGTCCAGATGGTGACCAGATCTGCTCTCTGCTGTGGTACACTTTGCAGAGTGGTTTCCCATTCTTGTACCTTTCTTGTGACACTAACTCCTGTAGTGTTCACATTATTGGTTCCACATACCAGTAATGGCAGGCAGTAATTTCTCCAGGACTGTAGATAACACATCTTGTACCTTGTTTTTCTGGAAGACATGGGAGGAGCATTTTTGTAGTACATCTACTAGTCCGCTAGCTAGTTCGCACATCAGCGGAAGCAGTCTTGGATGCCTCTGTACACGTGGGCTATTTTTTAGGTGGAAGAAGTCTGGAACTGGACAGGGCTGTGTGGGGAGATGGATCTTAATCTCTCCCTCAGGCCTCTTAATTCTTTGGGGATTTTCAAAGGCCCTTCAGTAGGTTTTGATGCCTTGGGTGTCTCCTTGACCAGTGTTTATTGGGTTCCTTTTATGTTCCAGACATTGCTGTAGGCACAGCAGTATAGCTGCGTGCCCCCAGGCCAAACAGGAATTCAGTCTTGGGGAGGATCAGTTGTTGCTGAATGTGCCTTATTTGGATCCATTTCCAAGTCCCTCCGTGATGTGGTCCTCCTTGCTGGTGCTCTGTTTACCTTTCTTTTGCATTCCCCTCAACAGGCCTATGATTCCATGCTGCCTACCCTTTGCACATCTTGTTCCCTCTACCCAGTACACACTTTTGCTCACTGGTAAACTCCTGCTCCCCACTTCCAGGCTTAGTTCAGGCGTCATTTACAGTGAACCCACAGTCTGCCTCCCAGTTCATGCTTTCTCCACTCTGTCTTCTTCATGCTCAGTTGACAGCTGTTTGCATGAACCGTCTGTTCCCTGTCAGGCAAGTAGTTACATGAGGTCAAGATTCATACCTTCTGTGCTCCTTCCCCTGCACAGACCTTGGCCTAACACATAGCTGCCTGGCATAGATGAGATGAAGCAACCCTGGGCTTGCAGCAACTCCCAGAGTCTACCTCTCGACTGACTCCCCTCTATCTCAGGGCAGACGTGGGACATAGTGCACACAGAGTCATAAGATTGTTCACCTCTGGGTGCCCATTGTGCGCCTCCACCCAATTTGTCCCTGTCCTCTCACTTAAACTAGAGGGTCCGTCCTGGAGTTTGGGACCTCAGCTATTTCATGCTGCAAATTTAGGGCCAGGCATGTAGTGATGCTCACTGAATGTTTGTTGAATGAAGGTATCAACATGTGGAAGATCAAATGTCTTAAATGTGGGGGTAGTTGGTGAAGCTTCTGTAAGTTTCCA